CCCCCCCCCCCCCCCCCGTGTGGGATAGGATAGCCTCATCTCCTCAATCCAATGCTCTAAGGAACTCGCTTGGTGGGTAGGGCTGGCTCTGTTCGCCGTCGAAATGCCACCGAACGTGCTTCGTTCAATGCCGCCGAGTTTGACGCCTACCACTCTCTGGGAGGCTATCCCACCACCTCTTGTTTCCATGTTGATGCCATCCCGCCGTCTCTCCCTTTATTGATTCTTCGCTCCGTATCTACAGCATGTGTAGGTATCCCAATGTTTCGCAGTGAGGATATCGTCATTTCCCGGCACGGATTCGTGGTTTTCGCCTTGACTAGCTGTGCTTCTTTACGCAGTGCAGAGCGTTTCGGCCAGCGCAAGCAGCACTAGCTGGAGCACAACACACTGATTGTGGTGCAACGCTCGAAGGTCTCTAGTTTGTCTGAGAGTCAGTCCCATTGGCCTTTGCATTCGCGTTCAGGGGTTGTGGCGATTGTAACCAAGATAGATTCATGTTTTCGCCGCCACTGCACCTGTACTCTTTGGTTTGCGACCCGACTTTACCCACGTCTTGTCCCAACGACGCCACACACTTTCGTTCGTGACGCGTCACAGATATCGGCAGGATGGTCAGAGGCAGATGCCGGCGGGGACGGTGAGCAAGGCGGGGGACGGCCAGCGCCCCATCTTCGAGAACGACTGCCCGGGACCGAGGTAACAACAAGTACGGCAGAAACACACCCAAGTACCTGGTGCCGTACTGCTCCAGCAGCAGCAGCAGCGACACTTACTGCAACTACCAATACACACGAAGTACATTTCAAACCTGGACACTTTCCTTGTAGACGCGGGGCAAGGAATTGTCTCGTGTTGAGGAGTCATCTTTCGTGCAGGGGAGGGTTAGGTGTGTGGGGGTGGGCATGGTGGCGCGGATCCTCTTGGCTTGCACCGAGTCACACACGTTCGAGCATTCGGAACGGGTACACAGCACCGCAGCGTATCAAGTCTTCGGTGCCNCTAATTCACTTCGTGAACTCGGCAACCAGGATACCGTGGATTATTTTCCTCTGTTATTATTTTGTCGGTAACCATAATGGTGGTCGAGTAGATCATGTTGTGCGGGGTCGAGAACCCTCACTCCGCGCAAGGGGGATGATCGCACCACGTTGTGTTCAAAAGGTCAAGCACCCTCGAGGCAGTCACACAATGCTTACAACTGTCTCTGGAAGTGAAAGCACCAGAAA